TTTTTATGCATTGTAGTCAAAGAACTTTCTCTCTCTGATGTCAATCAGTTTATTTCTTGAAATTTTTATGGATCAGGCCATGGTTTGTGTATGTGTCCCACGGTACTTGCAAAGGATGTGCATTCTGATATTCGGGGGGTGGGAATCTTTACCAGTCTCTTAGATCTTGCTGGTGGACGGTGTTGCTTAGCTCTTGAACACTGGTGTTTTTATATGTAGTTGTGCATCAACTGAAAGAGGGGAGACAGATTTCCATGTATAACTGTGGACTTGTATGCACCTGTTTTCAGTCTTTTCTAGTACTGTGATGTTTCTGGCTAGACTGACCCTTTTCTTTTCTAGCTGAAATGCTCACTTTATTGAAATTTATTGGTGCTTAAGGTGCTGAAATACTGAGGTGCTAATGGGGAACCTTGTTAGGATATGTCAGGCCCTCCTGGTTAATTCACATAAAGATTTTACCTCTTGCCTTTCTGCCCAAGTCATGGGTGACAGCTTTAGTTGGTAGACAGTGAGCATGTGAATATAGCAGGAGATCCAGCTCCCTCGTTTGTTGTTTCCACATGTATAAAACTTTGGGAAGCCCATCAAGGCGTTTCATTAATTAAGCCTTCAAACCACTAAAACCAAACCTATGCCAAGGTTCCTGCTTGACGCATGTTCCTCAAAAGATATTATCTCTTTGAACAAGATAGGGCTGAGAAAAGCATAGTGAAGGGAATGTGTATCACCTGCACAGTTTACCAGCTCTTCAGTATGACAGAGATAAGAAAAAGTTCCTTCATTAGGAAACTAGGTCTTCTTTTCACATACTGTGCCAAAATATACAGCCTGGCCAAAAGATACAGGTGTCTTGATAATTTGTTCATTTTTAAGCCTTGCTAATAAAGATACATAACCACCCATCCCCTGGACATGCATCAGTCTAATCACTTGGATCAGACAGATCACTTTTCAGAATCTACTTTCATATGTAGACTGAGTCACTGCAGACTAAGACGGAGCTCTGGAAGAAGTAAGTAAATAAAGCTAGGCTCTGACACACTTCCTGACCTTGCCTTCGCTGTGGAGCACAATGCAATAAAATAAGTCATGAGCTGTAACATCCACAGTGGCTGGTATAGTAATTTTCTCATATCATTAAGTGCCCTTTTTCATTAGTTTCAAAGTCTTAGGCTTTCATTTTGTTTCTGCAGAGCATATTAGGAAAAATGAAGCAGAATAAGTTAGTACTAGTCAATTTAAAAGACTTTAAATCAGGGCTGGGGATTTAGCTCAGCAGCACAGTGCCTTCCTGGCAAGCTCAAGGTAGTGAGTTCGATTCCTGACACTGGAAAAAAAAAACAAAAAATTTAAAAATTTTAAAAAAATAAAACACTTTCAATCAGAAAAGCTCTTGTTGTCATTGGATAGACTAGCAAGGGATTAACTACAAAGTTGGACATCCAAGATGTCCTCCTCTCCTTAAAAACAATCCCACAATCCTACTACTCAAATTAAAAATTGTATACAGGGAATAAGAAAAAAATCTTATAGTTTATCCCACTATCCAAAATTGTCTTCAAAATTTAAGCCAGACACAAACTGTTAAAAAACGTCAGAGCATAGTTTCTGCTATAGGGCAACTAATCAGTTTTCCCCAAAAGTTCTACAATAACTTTTTGTAGATGAGGATTTTTATTTGTTGAAATTAAAAATCTAGGGGCTGGGGATTTAGCTCAGTGGCAAAGCACC